GTGTCCATCTACTTACAAAAAAAAAAAAAAAGAAAGAAAGAAAGAAAAAGAAAAGAAAAAAGAAACAAAAACAGATGAGAAAGTAATGCCAAATAAGTAATACCAAGACTTAATACCAAATATGAAGAATTCCAAACAAGAAGAAAAAAAGCCACCTTAATTTCAACACTCAGACCTGAATGGAGATTACTGACATTTTGGAATGTACCTACCCTACTCTTACTAGACACCATGGGAAAACGGCAGGAGCTTAGAGTAAAAAGTCCCCTGATAATTAGAAATGTACATACAAAAGAATCGTAAGATTTAAAAATTCAATAAGCATTCTTCATCTCTTTCCACAGTGTAGACAGKGAGTAAAAGCACATTTTATACACTACATATAACTGTTTTTTTTGCCTCCTCCAACCCTTAACAATAGGCGTCTTTTCTTCTTAAAAATTCCATGGAAGCCGGGCAGAGGGTATAAACAAGCCATTTATAATAAACTGGTATGTTTAATCTTACTTCTTCCCTTCTTTTCTCAGTTATACTTTCTGAAGATGACTGATACTATTTTTATTGGAACTTAATTCTTTCTCCTCTCACAGCTACATTTCAAATTCTTTCAGCATCAAATTCAATGAGTTATCAAAAGATCAATGTCTCATTCCTAGTTTTGGGAGCTTGTATGGTGTTCTGCATACAATGAMTCTTGAGTTGAACCTCAAGTGAGAAGACATTGGATTCTATAGCTGGTAACCCAGATATAATATCTTCTAGCATATGTGAGGCACTTTCCAATAAGAAATCTGAGAAAATAGAATAAGATGAAAACAACTTGATTGTGGTTAAAAACTGTATAGTTCACCATGGTCAAACAAAGTGACCTATAGGGGTGTAAGCAGAAATTACATCAATCAGATCTGAGATCCTAAATCTTCCTGCTCTCGAGGAGTTCCAAAGTTTCTCTTAAATACTCAATCCCCTGGCTTGACATCACATACCAATTGGAAAATAATGTTACAAAACTRGTATTTCCTGTAAAATATTAGGGTTGGGAGAATTCAAGCAAACAATCGTTTACCTGCTTGGCCTTTCTAAGGGCCTAGCAGGATATAACTGTCACTGCTTTCCTAGTTCTGAAACAAGTTATATTTTTAAAGTTTCTAAACTATCTTTCCTCAACCTCTTTGGGTATGTGTGCATGTTTCTGTAAGCTGCTAGGTTTCCAATACTTTTCCAAGTACCCTGCCTCAGTTTGCTATATTCTTAGATACAGAAGCCCACATCTGGCCTACAGTGTAAACATCTGGCTCTTAAGTTCCAGTCCTAATCAGCAGGGTTAAGAGCATGTCAACAAGTATTATCAAAGCCAGGACAAATTGTTCATGCTTTCAGCAAATTTTTTTCCAGTCAGAGGCTAGTTAAAGGCAGAGTCATATAGGTCAACACAAAAGCTAAATGCAACTATTCTAAAATCCCATAGAAAATATATTTATTTTCRCTTAGAGTTCTTAAGCATCTATTATGTCTGCATTTATTTTCAAAATGAAGCACGTTTCACATTTCCAGTAAGAAAATAAAATCAATGAACTTCAAAGTACAGAAAAGTAAGCTCATTACCATTCTATTTCTTATTGTTCCATAGTATAAGCACTTAATTTCAAGATAAAAGACCTTAGCTAGCTGGGTGGGGTGGTACAAGCTTGCCATCCCAGGTACTCAGTAATCCCATCTGCTTGGGGAGGCTGAGGCAGAGGATCACAAATTCAAGGCCAGCCAGGGCAACTTAAAGAGATCCTGTCTCAAAAACAAACAAAAATGCTGGGAATGTGGCTCAGTAGTAAAGCATTCATGGGTTCAATCCTCCATACAGGTGTGCAAGGAAACCAGTGACACCTTCCCCTTTTTTGGTGGTACTGTGTATTTGACCTAGGGGTGCTCTCTGATACTGAACTGTATCCCCTGCCTTTTTCCCCCTTGAGACAGGATCTTGCTACGTTGATGAGGCTAGCCTCAAACTTTCAATCTTCCTGCCTCAGCCACATTGAGTCATTGGGATTATGTGCTCCTCCACACCCAGCCATTTTTATTTTTACAAAAAATATTATAGCTATTGAGTTACATGTATCATTAGCTTTTACTTCTTTCTTTACCTGTCTGTTGAAGTCCTCTTCATTCTCCATCCACATATATTCTGCAAATGGGTTTTCTTTTTCATCATGCCCATTTAGTCCCTGGTCCTCTTTGGATTTTACACTGGGTGGTGTATTTGCCACACTTGATCCATTCATTATGACAGACTCTATAGGAGCAAAAGAAAGGATAAAATGAATACAAGGATCAAGAAAATGTAAACCCACAACATTTAAGTTCTTTTAGAAGTTTCTGAAGTTCTGAGCCAAAGACTTAAATGTTAACAGAGACTGTTAAGACTATAACTGTGGGGCTGGAGTTGTGGCTCAGTGGTAGAGCACTTGCCTGGTATGTGTGAGGCCCTGGATTTGATTCTCAGCACCACATACAAATAAATAAAACAGCACCACATATAAATAAATAAAATAAAAGAGCCATTAAAAAAAAGACTTATTATTATCAAGCCAACCATATCCTGCAGTTACCAACTATACAGATGTACAATTCTTAAAGAGTTAAGAGGAAAAAAAGGGTCTAGGCTTATTATTTTTTTTTTCCCTAGGCAAGAGGCATAGGATAGGGTGGGGGTAAGGAATCTTCCCATGCCAAATTCCTGAAGGTCCTAGAACCTAATCCAGATCCACTTCCTTAATGATTAAACAGGAAGAGAGAATGTATTCTTTTTCTATTTCTTAATTCTTTTTGTAGTCCTGGGGATTGATCCCAGGGCTTCACACATGCTAGGCAAGTGTGCTACTACTAACCTACATCCCCAGCCCGAGTATGCATTCTTAATGAACACTGTAAGCACCTGCTCCTTATTCTGATTCTCAAACTTTGTGTTTCTTTAAAATGTATTTCAAAAAAATAATCCGTGTTCATTGTATGATAAGCAAAAAGTAGAAAAAAAATCACCAGTTGTCCAACCATCTAAAGTTAATAATAATTAACAATGTGGTGGTGCACAGAAACTTCCTGACACCCTGGCATGTATGTAGATACAGACATACACATGTTCCCCAAATTTCCATTCTTAGAAGTAACAGGATCATGATGCATTAAGCCCCACCATTTTTTTCTCATTTGTGTTAATATAGCCATAGGTCTTTTGGAGTATGTCCAATGTTTCTGTATTGTAAAGTTTGGATGAACCTCTGGTATTTATTTTTTTCTGATGATTTCTTTATAACTGCTACATTGAAGAGTATGTTCCTTTGTTTAAGTATCTTGATTTATTGCCACCCTCCCAAAAGAATTTAAATCCCCCCAGCAGTGTGTAAGTGCCTGTTTTTCACATTCATGAATACTATTATTTTTAAACCATTCCTAGTCTCATAAAAGAAAACCTGCATTTTATTGTTTACGCTTCTTTAATTTTTACTGAGGCTAAGTATTGTGAAATGTTTACTGGCCATTTTTCTATTAAGATTCATGGATTTTCCTTATCTTTGGTAAGAACACGTATTAATTTTTTAAAATTAAAAAAAATTTTATAAAAACAAGTAAAATAATTACTACATTTGTTTATTACTATTATTTTTTGCAGTACTGGGGATTGAACCCAGTGGCTCTCTACCACTAAATTATATCCCTAGCTATTTATTTATTTATTTATTTATTTATCTATCTATCTATCTATCTATCTATCTATTTATTTATTTATTTTGGTGCTGGGAATTGAACCGAAGACCTTGCACGTTAGGCAAGAACTCTACCACTGAGCTACACCCCAACTCTTATTTTTTATATTTAAAACAGTCTCCCTAAGTTGCTGAGGCTGGCCTAAAACTTGAAATCCTCCCACATCAACTTCCCAGGTCGCTAGAATCACAGACATACAACACCATGCCTAGCTATATTTGCTTCATTATTTTTGGTGGCCATATTTGCTAGCCTTCATCTTTGCTTACAGCTTGTGTGTGTATGTCAGTCTACGACTCTTAAAGGTGCATATGTATGGAAAAAAAGAGTTTGCTTTGGCTTGTAGTCCATTTTGGTGTTTTGTTATCACTGAGAATGTGTCTTTTTTCTACTCTTTATCTTATATTAACCATTCTTCAAAAAACATTCCAGTCTTCACTCACTTTTCTTCTCTGTCCTACTGTACCTAGGGAGTACCATGTTAAAATTCTTTCAGTTTTTTCTGTTTCATGTGCATAACCTTTCTTGTTCCAATTATATCTCAATTCCTGAAAAACAAGACTTGAGGTGCATATATTTTGTAACTTACCACAACATTAAAGACTCCATAAATACTTGTGGCTTAATTGTGCTTTGGCAACTTTCTCTCTCTATCCCATCTTTCTTCCACCTAATTCCTTGGGGCTTCTTTATAGTTTCTTAACAAATTATTTCCCTCTTGTCTCCATCTTGGCAACACACCTAAAAGCCTTTCTTTGCATCTGAGTATACTAAAAATTTCTTACTTAATCTTCTTTAGTTTCTGCAAAATTCCTAAACTATTATGAACATTAGAAATCTACTCTTGTAGTTGGACGTGGTGGCATACACCTGTTAATCCCAGCAACTTGGAAAGTTGAGGCAGCAGGATTGCCAAATTCAAGGCCAGCCTGGGCAACTTAGCAAGAATCTGCCCACAGAATAAAAAGTAAAAAGGGAATGTAGCTCAGTGATAGACTGCCCCTGGGTTCAGTTCCTAGTACCACTAAAAGAAAAAGAAAAACAAATAAAGCCCTAATCTTGTAAAAAGGCAAGTAGAACTGTGAATAGTAATGAATACATGGAAAAACAACTCACTGGATCCTTCTAAAAGAATTCCATTTAAAGCAGAACCCATTAAATTTACCATAGGTTTAAATAGGGGACCTGGTAAGAAATATATCTGTTTAACATATTTTATTTATTTATTTATTTAAACGGAAACCACTCAGATTGCATTCCCTCCCTCTTGTTCTCCAAAAACGAAAGAAGAACGATCATCAATGGCAATAGGCAGCTGCAGCAAAGCAAAACCAAAAGCCAGCTTCGCTCAGAAGGGAACGCTACGCCTCCTCCTCAAGACATATTTTAGATAGTTAGAGACAAAATAAGACAATATTTATTTCAATACAGGATCTTAAAAACAATTCTACAGGGCTAAAGGAGGAATCCTGTTCTTTATTTTTACTACTTCCATTTGCAGCATAGAAATGACAGAAGCAAGTCAGCTTTAAATGCCAGAGCAACTGCATAAGTAAGTGTGGTATTACTAAACAGAGACTCTTACAGGTTCTCTACTTTTCTGAGTAGCAGGTTATCCTGTATTGTATTTCCAAAGATTTATTTGGCTGTTGTTTACAATCAGCACTTCTCCCCATCCATGTGGAAATTGTCCACAGAGAATCAGAGTTCAGTTTTCTAAAACATCTGCCTTTATCAAAAAAATAAATACTAAGTGCATATGATCATAAGGAAAAAGGGAAGGCAGAAAAAGAACAGAATACCCCTTCTGATTTAAGAGCAAGGTAGAACACAGAGCAAATTACACAATGCACTTGTTCATGAGAAAGGCAATGGTAATTACCATAAACTCAACATGGAGGTGTTACTTGTGATTTTATAATGTATGTATATTTGGGGTTTCATCCATAGTTCCATAATTCCATAATTCCATCCATCTATCTATCCATTTACTCAGTGCAGTGCTAGGGATGGAATCTAGGGCCTCATGTATGCTAGGCAAGCASTGAGCTACATTYTCAGTCCTAGATAGTTATAAAAGGTACTTTAGGCTTCAGAAACCAGAATCCCTGCCTCTCTTTAACCTTGTGGCCTCCTTTCACCTGATCCTTTTTGTCCCCAAGGCATACCACAGATACCAGAACTTCTCTTCCTCAAGCCAGGTCATAGAAATTAAAAATGTAGCTGGGCTCAGTGGTGCACACCTGTAATCCCAGCCACTTGGGAGGCTGAGGCAGGACAACTGTAAGTTCAAGGCCAGCCTCGGCAATTTAGTGAGACCCTGTAGCAAAATAAACAGGGGTGGGGATATAACTCAGTGGTAGAGAATCTCTGGGTTCAAGCCCAGTACAGCAGAAAAAAGAAACTAAACTTATACTCTAATCTTCCCCCTACCTTTCTATCTCTCAGCTAGTCATAAAGAAATTCTCTGACACATCTTGTCTGACACTAGATCATTTTTAAAAAGGGTCCAGTCCCATAGTTTGGAGCAAGGAAATTTGCACAGAGAGGCCAAGAAGAATCTTGAACAGACAGGCTTTGCTGGTTTTCCCCACTCATTTATTAGCATTAGATCATACCTTTTTTGTCTAATTACATTGTTACACAGTTGTCTATGTTTCAATCATGTTTATGCAATGAAACCTTCATTTAAAAAAAATAAAAAAGGGTTCTGAAAGCTTCTGGACAGCTGAATGTGTGGAGGCTGACAGGAAGGTAAAAAACGACTCATCCACATCCTAGCAAGATGGTGAAGCCAACTTCTGGAGATGGACACTCCTGGGCTCAGGATCCTTCCAAATCTCACCCTATATCTCTCTTCATCTGGCTATTTATTTGTATTCTTTAAAATATCTTGTATAATAAACTAGTAAACATAAATGTTTCCCTGAGTTCTGTGAACTGCTCTAACAAATTAACTGTACCTAAGGATGGGGTTGTGGAAATCTCAATTAGAAGCCAGCTGGTCAGAAGTTCTGGAGGTCTGGATTTTTTTAAATTAATTTTTTAAAATTTATATATGACAGCAAAATGCATGACAATTCTTATTACACATATACTACATTTTTTCATATCTCTAGTTGTATACAAAGTATATCCATACCAGTTCATGTCTTCATACCTGTACTTTGGATAATAATGATCATCACATCCCACCATCATTAATAACTCCATGCCCCTTCCCTTCCCCTCCAACCCCTCTGCCCTATTTAGAATTCGTCTGTTCCTCCCATGCTCCCTCTCCCCACCCCACTATGAATCAGCCTCTTACATCAAAGAAAACATTCAGCATTTGGTTTTGGGGATTAGCTAACTTCACTTAGCATTATCTTTTCTAACTCCATCCATTTACCTGCAAATGCCATGATTTTATTTTCTTTTATTGCTGAGTAATATTCCATTGTGTATTTATGCTACATTTTTTTAATCCACTCATCTACTGAGGGGCAACTAGGTTGGTCCCACAGTTTAGCTATTGTGAATTGTGCCACTATAAACATTGATGTGGCTGTGTCCCTGTAGTATGCTGGGTCCCTGTAGTATGCTGTTGTTAAGTCCTTTGGGTATAGACAGATGGATGAGAGGGATAGCTGAGTCAAATGGTGGTTCCATTCCCAATTTTCCAAGAAATCTCCATACTGCTTTCCATATTGGCTGCACTAACTTTCAGTCCCACCAGCAGTGTATGAGTGTATCATTTTCCCCACATCCTTGCCAACGCTTATTGTTGTGTGTATTCATAATAGCTGCCATTCTGACTAGAGGGATAGAACCTAGGGGCACTTAACCACTAAGCCACATCTCCAGCCCCTTTTATTTTTTATTTTGAGACAGGGCCCACTAAGTTGCTGAATCTGGCTTTGAACTTGTTATCCTCCTACCTCAGCCTCCTGAGCTGCTGGGATTACAAGCGTGTACCACCACATACAGCAAGAGATCTGGAACTTTGGAGTCTGCAGTGSGTGACAGTCTGGTGGACTAAGCTCTCAATCTGTGGGTTAGTATARGAACAACACTGGCTTGTGGGCCTACTGGGTGAGAGTGAACTGGTGCTTCAAGTGCCCCATTCCTTTAGTAACAGGGTAGGAATTTTGCTGGACACTGGTAGCTCCTAGGGAAGCAAATGGATGTTTCCAACTTGGGGAAGAAACAGAGTATGATAAGATTATCATCATTAAATTTCCCATTTCCAGTTCTTCACTTTTACCCAATAGGTATTTGGCATTAAGAAATCTAAGAACACTTTGAAACTTATYGCTCCCCCACCCTACCTTCCCTCTCATGTTCTGAGTATATACAGGGGTACTAAACCCTGCAGAGCATTTGCTTTAGTACTTTACCATGGTCAAGGGCTTATGTCTAAAATATCTGGCTTAAAATAGGGGCCTTAGTTACCAGCCATAATGAACACCTACACCTTTCAGATCCAATATACTCTTACCAAAAATAGCTGTTCTTTGGATCTATATGAGATATTTCATAAGCTATAAAATCTGAATTATGCCCATAATAACAGTTTGGGGTGTGTAGGTGGTACCAGGGAATGAACCTAGGGGCACCCTATAACTGAGCTACATCTCCAGCCCCCTTTTTTTTTATTTTAAATTGAGATACAGTCTTGCTCAGGCTGGCCTCAAATTTGTGATCCTCCTCTCTCAGCCTCCCAAGTCACTGGGATTATAGGCATGCAATACCATGACTGGCTATATTTGGGATTTTTGACTGAATTAAAAAGTCATCTCTGCCAGGCACAGTGGAACATGCCTGTAATCCCAGCAACTCAGGAGCCTGAGGCAGAAGGATTGTAAATTCAAGGCCAGCTTTGGAAACTTGGCAAGACTGTCTCAAAATAAAAAGTAAAAAKGACTAGGGAGACAGTTCAATGGTGAAGTGTCTCTGGGTTCAATCCCCAGTACCTAAAATTAATAATTAATTAATTAAAAAAATAAAACTAGCCTCTGCTATTCTGTTTTCAACAGTTTCATTATTCCATCCAGCCTGTTTAATACTATTTTTAAAATTAAATATTGTGGATAATAGTCTTTAATTATATTTACTTCAAATATGCTGCCACTGGATACAGGTTTTACCTTTCCTCATTATATCTTAAAAATGCAAGCCCTTGGCTCAATCTACTCATTTATTAAAATCTGAGTGCCAATTTACATTAGGCACTGATGCTTTGGCAGCAGGATATACAGTTCTTGCCCTGGTGGTATTTACATTCTCTTAGGAGAAAAACAAGCAAATAATTAAGAGTAACTATGATTTATACTGTAAAGTGAGAAGTAAATGAGACTATTAGAAAAATATAGGGGGAACCAATCTAATTCAGCTGTGGGCAACATTTTCACTGATACCTGAAAAATATAAATCAGCAATAAGGAGAGGAAAGAAGCATGTGCAAAGCCTCAGGCAAAAGAGACCTTTTCAGGACACAAAGAAGGTAGATGGGCATCTAGTAGAAGGACAAGGAAGAGATGAGGCTGAAGAGGCAGATAGGCTGGATCACATGGGGCTTCTGGATTTTACCCTAAAAGTGATGAAAGCCATTATAAGGAGTTCTCAGCAATATAATGACTTGATTCAAATTATGTTTTGCACTCACTCAGGCTGCTATGTGGAAAATGGACTGGAGAGACCCAGAGCGGATAATGAGACTAGTAGGGCAGCTAATGCTCTTAATCCAGATGAAAATATGGCGGTTGCTTGGTTCATGATGGTGGCAGTGAGAAGAGAAGTAGGCCAACTCCAAAACTATTTCAGGAAGTTCTGGGTGATGAAGGCRATGTGGGGAATCAGGGTGAGGGAAATATCAAAGATAATTTTGGTACAAAGAACTGGGCAGATGGTAATGTCATTGTCTGAGCTGAGGAATTCTGTGGGAAGAACAAAATTTTTCCTGGGTGGCGATGGTGGGGTGGGCTAAGAAGGGTGATGAGTTCTATTTTGGACATGTTAAATTTGCAACGCCTCAGAAACACTCAAATGGTGATGTTAAGTAGGTTGGCTATATGCATCAAGAATAGAAGAAGTGTGGCTAAAAAGAGAAAGTTGGAGTAGTCATTTATATAAATGGTAACTGAAGTCATGGGACTAGAAAACACTGCCTAGAAAGAAAGAGCAAAGTGAGATGAAAAGATGGTCCAAGGCTCAGCTCTGATGTGTGTGAAGATTTTAAAAAGACAGGCAGAGGAGGAGGATAATATGAAAGGAGGTTAGGTAGAATCTAGAAATGAGAAGGAAATCAGAAGAATTTGACAATACAGAAATCAAGGAAGGCAGAATTCCAGTGTAATAGATTAAATGGAAGTTCACCAAAAGATATGTATGGCCTGCAGCCACCAGAATTTAGAAGAGGCAAAGAACAGATCCTCCTCTAAAGCCTTCAGAGGGAGTGCAGTTCTACTG